CTGATTTTTATTCTTAAATCTCAAAGAACTTTCTTTAACTGGCTGGGCTGGAGGGTGAGGAATCTTACCCTGATTGTAGCTAGGTGAACAAAAATAACATTAAAATTCTCCTTTTCTTCCCAAGTCTGAATTGAGGCGATTCAGCAACTATGGGGTTTAGTCTCTTTTAAAGAAGAAACATGAAATGGTACAAAGACGTGTTAAAATTCACTTACGTGCTGTTGCTATATATTCAGAAAACCTTAAGGGCAATTATATTTAGGGTGTTATTCCTTTAACTGTCATAGATAAAATAAATGGTCAAATATGTTATTTCCTCTAATCTCCAGCCATTTTATCTTTATGAAATCAAGCAAGCATTTACAAATATTCCTAGAGAAATCGATGAAACGTGTGAATTCTCCAACAGGGGTGCAGATACAAAATAAAGAGCAGGGCAGGCCCGGTGCAGAACTGTGTGGTGGTGATGGTCTGGTTTTCCTGGGACAACCAGCAGCCACATCCCTTTTCCCATACATAAATGGCAGTTAGCAATAGCTAGAAACAAAAGGCCCCTCTCTCACTCCCTGAATACAGTGACATTCATTCTCAGAGAAGCAGGGGCAGCTTTTTGAAAGCAGACTTCTTCAGTCCAACAATAACACACAATGAGTTATTGACTTGTTTATATATGGAGCTCTTTTCAGTAACTAACTCTGACTCCCCACAGTCTGGACAAATGATTGATTTCGTTGTTAGAAAAAGAGAAAGCTCTTGCACTAAACTCTGTAGTGCAAACTACTTTTTCCCCATTTGTTCCCCCACTGAATAGGACCTTATTAAAATGCACTTTCCAAAAAATACCTGCAGCTGGCCTTTATAAGCATGTTTTGTATATATAAATAAGTAATTTGTCCCACTCTTTTGTATGGTAACAAACCATTGGAGAATCTTGTCAACATATATATGAAGGTTGAGTGTCATAGGATTTTGGTTAAACAATATTATTTATACTGATGTGCATAAAAAGCGTAATTGTAAAGGTATTTACAGTAGGTGTTTGCTATTTGGTTTCAAATAATAACTTTTCAAAGTTAATAGGCTTGATGGGTTTTTATTGAAAGATCTCCTTTGGGCACCAGTTGTTAAAATAATATGCATAAACATGTTATTCTGATACTTTTATATCTATGGTCAACTAAAAAATATTTGAATAACTATTAATTGATCTTTTAACTTTTGCAAATTTTTGTAGTATATAATTTATTTTGTTTTATTTTTTATATGCTCCTTATGTTCATTCTTCATATACATATATACACGGCATTTTATTTTAAAGAAAACCAGTCTTCTTATATCCTTTTTTATTACTATGTATTTTCTTTAATAAATAAATACTTGCTTTCTTTTTTACAAATTTAAATGCTGAGACATATTACTTAAAAAGATGCTGCAAGTGTCCAACAGCTGCGTTGCAGGAACGATTTTTCTATTGGAAAGGAAGGATGCAGAGTTTCCCCGAGCCCTGCAATTTGTTAATTACACAACACTGCCGGCACTTAAGGGCTCATTAGGATGGTGCTCAAGGTGTTTCCAACGCGTTTTACTAACACACATAGAAATGTAGTGAATTAAAGGAGCTAATGCCACCTTGCTGCTCATTCTCCAGGTTCTTACACCTGTGAGGTTGTGGAAGCCGTGGCCCACAGGATGTAAAATGTGGGCATTTTGCTGTAATTAAACAGCTACTCAAGTAAGAAGGAAATAAGGGACCATAGCCCTTGTATCCATGTGAATATTCTTTGTGTTTCTTACAAGGTGTAAGGCAGGAGGGACTTTCGATTTTACTAATTTGTATTCTTTTCAACTTTTGTGTATGATTTTCTTTTATCTTCTTGCTTTCCATTCTTAATCTTTAACCTGTTTTCCAAACAAAACTATTTTTGCTTATCATGCTTACTTCCTTTTTCTTTCTTTAATGTATTTTTCCTAAGATAATTTAGCTCCATTTTGGAGTCCCAGCACAGACAGCTCACCAATTTCCACCTCTCATTAGAATTGCCAAGGCAGATCTGTTTAACAAAATAAATAATATTAACATAATATATTATATGATATTCTGACGTTCACTGATGCTTACTAGAACCTAGTTAGAATTATCAAAGATTTAATTAAAAAAAATCACCGCAAAACTGAGTGGGTAAGTTGTGAGGGGAAAAAATTAACTAAATTTCTCTGCTCTTCTCAATTTTCATGTGAACACCAGGCAGTGGCATCCTTTTGAAAGAGCACATACGAGCAAAGCAAAGAGCACTTGGAAAGAGCTTTATTTTCTGTAGAAGTTCATGTGTAGAGCAGAAACTTGCTGCAGAAATTAATTCCTGTCTTGTTATCCTTAACTTCTGTGCGTCTGGCTTGGGGGTGTGGATCAGGAGCTCCCTGTATCATCATTCTTAGCTGGTTGTGGAGGCTTGGGGGTGGAAAAGGAAGAGCTATTCTTCTGTGTAGCTTCTGTGAGCCTTTTGTGAGGACCCAGAGACCCATAGGATTTTCCTGTGATCTCGATGTATCCATACTTACAATTGACTTGTCCCTCCCCCTGTGTGTCTGAATGTCCCGGGACAGACCCTCAGCTGCACTGAAGTGGTGTCAGCTGGAGTTTGGTGGCTTTTTAACTCCTTTAATTGAGTGACGTGCAAACCTGGACTTACAGCTTCTCTGCCAGAGCCTTTCAGAAACTCTGTGACCAGCAGCTTCGTGGAGCTTTTGGGCTTTTTTCTCTCCTGCAGCTTCAGGTGTTACACAAAGAACCACATAAAGATGGTCAGAAAGAGATCCTGCTCTTTGAAAGACTATGCTGTGGAAGGATGTTTGTTTTATTGGACAAGTTACGCTCATCTGACCAGAGGAACATCTCTTTTCTGAAATGTAACCCACAGTTTAAATATTTTCCAGTCAGTACAGTCCCATTCAACAGTGGTAAGCGTGATGCAAGAATAAAATTAAGTGTTTATGCTGAAAAAACAGGACACTGGATGCGTAGCTTTCATTTTTATTAAAGAGAAGTGTGGATTCAGAATGCGAATTTGCAAAGAGCTGTGACCGAAAACAACTCTTTTGGCTTAAACTTTTTTTGTCATTTTCTTTGAAGATGTTTTACTTATGCATAAAAGTACAGGTCTGTGTGCTCTGAGATCCTTAATAGTGCCCTGAGTATTTCTCAAAATAAAGCTCTTGGATCCTTTGCGTGCATCCAGGCATCTTCTCATCTTTAGAATTGGAATTTTAACAATATTTTCTGTCAAATATGAAAGGCATGTGCTGTACAGCTGACTTTATCAGCCCTTAACTCCTGGCAGAAAGAAAGCCTCTCTGTGCCAAGGCTAACAGTAATCATCTTTAACTTTTATATTTACTTAAAAGCTTACCCATCTGCTCCCAGTTCTTCTGGTTTCCTTTTGAGTTGTGATTGCTGAAGGCTGGTGGGTGTACTGGTGTCAATCAAATCTCCTGGTGACAGCAAGCATATACAGAGCCCTTTTTTTTCCTTTCTGGAGATTTCATTTACCACACTCAGATGAATAGTTTCAATTGTTTCGAACTTTGGGACAGTAGATGAAACCCTGGTTTCATTTGAAGTTAATGTCTGATCCTCTCATGCTGATCCCCACTGACAGGTGTCTCGGGGAAGGCAAAGGCATCTCAAAATTCCCACTGTTCAGGGTGGGATATGTAGACATGAGGCCAATCCCTACCACAGGTAGGGTACAAGCAGAGTTTAGATAGGACCCCCTCAATGAGCTGGAAACTGGAACTTTTAAACAACCATTAAAAAAGCCATTGACTACTGTTAAAACTAGGATGGTCTTAATTTCTTTTTTAACCTCATCTTTACTGCACATTACTTAGACATAGTTTTCGCCACTTTATAATAGAGAAAAATGTATTTAGGATATATGAAGCTCTTAGGCTATTCATTCTGAAAAGTGTCTTTTGTTATATTACAAACCAAGGAACTCTAATAACATTTAAAATATATGCCTTTTCAATTCGATGCAGAATAAAAAAACAAATTCACAGAAAAATGCTTATATGAAAATGCATAAGAAAATACCATATATGCTTATATTAAAGTGTTCCATAAGGGTTTTTAATCCATGTATCTGTACCATTTTATAATTCAGTCTTTGGCTGGAGTTTGCTTTTAGTATTCAGAAGGGAAAAATCATAAGATATTTTTTCAGTGATAACAGAGGAATTATACTTAAAGCCAGAGGAAGTAAGTGAATTACATCAAGCAATTTTTGTTGAAAAATAAAAGAAAAAGAAGACCAAGATGACTATATTTGAAGGCTGGAAAAGTTATTTTTTATAACTGACTTTGAAGCTTCACATAAAAATAGGACAGTTTTCTACCACTCTGCCTCTTAGTGACCCAGTAAAGCAATGGCAAAGAGTAATTTTGGGATACAATTTTCTGAATCTTTAGATTTACAGCTTTTTAAGTGGAGTACTTGTGATCTACAGATGTAAAGGGTAATTTTCCTAACAGAGATATCAAGAGCTGTGCTAGGCAAGAGCTGAGAACTTGATATTTTTCTGTACCTTGTTTAGGAACACGCAGAAAAGAACTCCAGAATGCCTCTATGTATATTTATGTGTGTGTGTGTGAGACTCTATTTTGAATTTAAACTCTCATTGGCTTATGATCCAGCTGTATTAATCAATTTAACCCTGCTTATCAGAAACAACTAAATACCTTGTGAGGTCAGTATCAATACAGACAGGCAGAGAAAACCTCATTCCTTATTGAAGAAGACGAACCTTATGATGGATGATGGCTATTATGAATATTTTTTTTGTAAAACAGAGATATTCATATTCTGGAATATCTCTGAGATAACCCTTTTCAGTGTGAAGACAACTATTGCATCCCCCCCAATTTTGTTATCTTTCTTTATCTTCCTAATCCCACATTGAGTGGTCTGACATGAACTCTTTAACTTTCTTCTCTTTTCTAGCCCTTTCTGTGTAAAACTACACTGAAGATTGCCTTCAAACTCAAGGACAAATCAAAAATTGAGAAGTGTCATTAGGATCCATCCATAAAAATCAAATATTGGTTTTTCCTGACGTCTACAATCGATAAAAAAGAAGTAAGAGCAGCTCGTTCCCGGTTTCTCGAAAGGAGCAGTGAGGAGCTGCTTATTCTGCCCCCAAACAGAATTTTGGTAAGTGCAATTTCCTTCTTCTTCCATCATTGTGCCAGAATAGAAATAAATTTCGTTGACCCTCTTACTGGCACAGATTTGTCCCTCATGGACCGCTTCACTACCTCTGTTTCCTCTTTTTCCATGATGAAAACATGTAGCCACGATTCAGTCCTCCCTCCTTGTTGCTGCCAGCCTGCTTTCTGCCAAAGTGTTTGGGACAAAGGAAAAACACCCCGTGGCTGAGTGGGAAGGATGGATAAGAAGCTTGAAATGAGGTAAAAATTCAATATATTCCAAAACATTCTATGTAGTTGCTCTCAGTGTGTTTGATGTCATCCACGGCCCCAGCACTGTGTGGGACCGCAGGTAGAGGACGGATTCATCCCACCTTTAGCAAGAACCTCCCTGCCTGCAGGGATTATATCTCATACAACCAACAGAAGCTTTGGTGGAGGTCACACTTTTTAATCACTTCTGCAACTTCCTAAAGAAACTACGGATGTTTTTATCAAATTTTTTTCCCACATTTTTAAGTACACGATTCCTTTCGCCTGCAAAGCTATTTTTAAAAGAGAGATTTCAACATAGCAAAGTGTTTCGTATTCAGTTAAGAATTTAAGTAACTCCTTTGCTTTTGTTAGAACTGTGGTGCTGCTCTAATTATGAACATTAAACTCTGTTCTGCTCTTTTAGGGGAAAAATGTAGTTTACAATGTCAAGACTCAGTAAGCTAATCATAAGATTATGCAGGAAATATTATAATGAAAAGCTATTAAATCATGCATTTTTCTTACAGTACTTCATGCAGTGAAGTTGACAGCATATTTTATACATGAAATATTAATACAGAATTAATGGCAGTTAAAAGTAAAGAATTATTTCAGCATAAGTTTCTGGATGGCAAAAAAGTATTAGTCCATCAGACATAATTATTATTAAGTATTAGTGTTATTAAGACTTAATTATTATTAATACAAGCATTTTATTGGAAAGATACTAGTAAATATGTATTAACATTTCATTTCATGGAGTAATTAAAAATATTTTTAGAATTATGTCAATGATACTTCACTTCCCTACCAATAACTTGTATTTGCAAATAACTTGTCTCAGTAACATTATAATCCTTGTCATCTACTAATTTCTAACAACTCATATTTTTCTTCAATAAAGCTGACTCACTAAACAACAGATCCATGTAGACCTCAGTGTTGATCTCCTTACTTTGGCAGAAATCCTAAACTGTCTGCCTGAAGTTGGCATGAATAGCTTTTCCAGTTTCATGGACTTGGTGATTTTATGTCTGCCTGCTAGAAGCAAGTACCAAAAAAAAGAAAAAAAGCTCTTAATGACTTACTAACAGAAATATCCAGGTAGAAGACAAACACTATATATTATTACCATAACAAAAATATGCCCAGAACCACCCTTGAAATGCTTAGAAGGCCATGAAAATAAAAAGGAACAACGAAGATTATGTAGAGAAAGAACAATTCGTGGGCAAAATATTAAACATCTTTATGGTTCTAGATGCTTAAGATTTTCCAGTAAATGTCATTCAGTTAGTTCAGGGACACTACATTTTCTGTATGGAGCTTGTAAATTAACAACCCAGATAAACAAATGCACTTGATTTATTTTAATGTTGTGAATCACATGCAAGAGCTGTTGAGGTTGTTCCCTGCTTTTCAGCAGGGCATTGTAACTCTCCTCCTAAAGACTTCTGGCACCCTAAAAAGTGTGGAAGTGGTGATGGGTACTGCATCACCCAATGCTCAAACACCTCGTCTGGGATCAGGCACACCTCTCTTGGAATTCTTTTAGGAAGAATTTCTTCCCGGAAATTGGATATTGGAAGGGGCTGCCCAGGGAGGTGGTGGAGTCACAGTCCCTGGAGGTGTTTAAGGACAGACTGGATGTGGCACCCGGTGCCATGGTCTGGTTGACATGATGGTGTTTGGTTGAACTGGATGATCTCAGGAGTCTTTTCCAGCCTAAATTGATTCTGGGATTTGTGAGTCTGAACCTGAGCAAGTGATGCCTGCTCAGCTGGTGCTAAGAAAAAAAATCTAGGAGCAGTTAGTTGGAGTGAGATAAGAAAGGGTTTAATTGTGCCAAGGCAAGAGATGTTACACGACGCGCACCGGGCTGTGCCCGGGATGTTACATTTATAACAATATCTGGCCAATCCCAAGTGTGTCCACCCCGTAACTTTTGCTCTGGTCCACCCCCTGGCCCACCTCCTGGAATTGGGTCTGGGGTGCTAATTGGGACCCCCTCTTCATCATCCTTCATCATCTTCGGGGTACAGAGAGCAGAGTCACCCAGTTCCTTGACTCTGTCCTGCGGTTTAGGCCAAGATACAAGCGTTCCTCAAACAAGACAGGCTTGCCTTGACTAAGAGACAAAACATCTTCTACTGGATATGGGAATAGGGTTGATATGAACAGTATAGAATGGGGTAAGAGGCTTAAGGAATGTATAAACTAAGGGGTGCTAGGGGAGGAGGGAGAAAGGGATTGTTTCTAAAATCTACTTCTATTACCTATAAAACTTATAAGGTAGAAAAATAAGAAAACCATTATGGGCTTAAGGGATCACAAGGAGCTGTTCACCTTTGCACCTGGGAGCAGCTTTAACCTGTGAACAAGCAGGGGGAAGTGAGGAGCTGCTCTGAGCAGCACAGCCTGCAAAGTGAGGGCTGGCTGCAAGGGAGTCACAGCTCTTTGATTCTCTGTGGAATTGTGACATCCATCCCCAGAGAATGTCAGCCCCTTTATTATGTCTTTTGGATAACTCAGTTGGTTGTCAATATTTCACATGTCCTTCAACGTGGATATTAATTTCATTATCACTTGACATTAACCTGAATACCAATTCAGTAGTACTTCCCTGTCAAGTGGCCAGCTTTATCTTTGAATATTTCTTATTTTTGAAATTGGCCTAACTAAACAATTTCTTATAAGTTTAATTCGAATATAAGGTGTTTGGTAAACTCCTGGGCATATTAATTATCACATGTGTTATGAAAAACAATAAAATATAGATATATTTAGTCAGCCCAAGGTTAGATTATTATTCACTAACAACTTGATTATGCATTCAAGCTAGCAAACAATTGGTTTAACACAATAGGTATCACTGGGATACGTGATATGTTTCGTATTATTTAAAAGGTGCTGAATCTGAACATTTGCACCCATAATAAAAAAAACTAATTGTGGCACCATCACAGCCTTACTTTTGATGTTTTTCTGGTTTCTGATTACCTTTTGAATAGTCTTGTTTCTATTTTACAATTAGAGCAATGAAGGGCCATGAAATTCCATTTCTTTCCTTCCTTAGGATTCTTCCTATGAGATTCTCAAAGGTGAGTGCTGTTGATGCCGTATTTTGAAAGTATTTGGGCACATGCAGGTGCAGATAAGTGCACAATGTGATTTTCAAGATCTGGACAGTACTTCCTCTCTACTGGGGAGGAAAATGCTGGAATCTTTGGTGGGGAAGTTATAATTACTTCAGTCATTACTTACTAAGAAAAGTCTTCTTCAGGATTCCTGATGCTGTTTGTTTTGCCTTGTTTGGAAAATAATGAGAGATGCTGGGCTGAGATCCTGCTCTAAATCAATACTGCAGTTGTTGCAGCTTGGCTGATCTACACCAGCTGAGGACTTGTTTCACCAAATGTAAACTGTTATTGCTGCTCTCACAATTGTGTGTGTCCTGCCCCTTGGTCAGGTTTCAATTGACAGGTTCAGTGCAAAGTGGCTCAGGGCACTCTCTGGTGACATGAGTGGGCTCTGGGTAACACAGCATTTAAACTGCCAGCTGACTTCCCAGAGCCAAACTAAACGGGAGAGGCACGAACAGATACTGATAATAGATGGTCTTTATGTATGGACATGATATAAACACCTGGGACTCTTATTTGCCTTAGGTTTGCAGTGGCATCAATAGGCTTTAAGTTATAAAATGCCTTACAGAGCTGCCTCAAAACCAATGGACTCTATAATAATTCATTAGAATCTATGACATTATAAACATTGCATTATAAATATTTATCAGTCCAGGTGCAGCTGGCCCAGCCCTCACCTTGGTGAACGTGGATTATGGAGGAAGGAAACAGCTTTAATACAGCAAGAAAAACGTGCTGCTCTCACCAGGTAGAGCTTTGCAAGGCTGTAACACACAGTCCTCTCCCATCCATGCCCTCACCCTGTCACATGCCAGCCAAGGAGATGACCCTCCTGGATTTTTAATGGGAAAAGAAGCTTATTCTTTGCATGTGCTTTTTTTTTTGGTGTTTGGTTTTGGGGGGTTTTTTTGCCACGTCGTGTTCTTTTGCCATTCCCTCACCCAACTCCTGTACAAGTGTCACTTCCATGATGAGTTTTCCTGGAGAATGAGGAGTAAAATGTGTAGGCTCTCTGCAGCACAATGAAAGCAAGCATTTTTTTCAACTTATGCGTACGTAAGCCTTCTTTTGTGAATAAGACTCATAGGGTCAGATAATGTTTAAAGGGAAAGGCTTTATGTCTCTCAGGCCTGCATGTTTCCACATGGATGCTTCTACACACACACAGATTGAATTATGAACAGACCTATTAATGCTGGGATCACAAAAGGTCAAGTTTTGTCTTCTTTTACCTCTATTCAGAATTGCTTTTGAAAGGGGGGAAAAAAGGGATTTGCAGAAAAAAAAAAGATTCATGATGAAGAATTTTACAGGTCTTTTTTTTTTTTTTCTGTCCTTTAGCAACATCTGGGAGTTGGGAAAAAAAAAATCTTATTATGTAAAATAGTCCAGGGGTATTGTATTACCAGATTTTAATATATCTCCTTTGGGTCACTTGGAAGGTTACCTAATGGAATGACCTGCTACATAAGCAACGAAAACACCAAAAAGGAACTTCAGGAAAATTTTCCTGCTACTATAATGGGCATGTTTAGCTGAAGAAAAATTGTAGAAATATTCCAAGAAACAACTTTTTTTTTTTTTTTTAATAATAATAGAGGTCTAGTTCCTAAAATATTTTCTCAGGGAAACCTTACACTGAAGTTGAACTATTCCTTCAGACTATTCATTTGAAAAGTTATGTTAAACTTAAGCATCCACATCCACATAAAACTGGATGTTGCAAAATGCTCTGCCAGATCTCATCATAAGTAATATTTATATTATTTTCTCAAATACCTTTGCTAGAGGAAAATTAAATAATCTTATTGAAGAATTCC